CGCTAGTACCCCAAAAGATGCATTTCATAAGTGGACCGACCCATTTAGCCCACATTGTAGGAACATCCATCCAATTTCTTGCTTCAGGTTTTTTTTATGTCTTTTTGTTTTCCTTTATTTTACATTTTTCAAATTCATGAATGCTATTTAATTCATGAACAATTATACAGTTCATGAATATTTTCGAAATTCATGGACATTCTTCAAATTCGTGAACACCTTTTCAATTTTGTCACCCTTTTCAAAATTCTTAAACATGTTTTGTAATTTATAAACATTTATTAAAATTCAATAACATATTTCTAAAGTCACCATTTTGGATTTACAATTTTTTAAAATTCAAGAACATTTTTAAAACTTTATTGCAAAATAGCACGTGCATTTAAAAAAACATCCCATATTTTAATTCATGATTTTGTTTCCAATATAGAAAATTTAATTGATAAAAGGATCAAAATCTGGCTGTTCTTACGAACATACTCCCTCCGTCCCAAAATATAAGAATATTTTTTACACTACACTAGTGTCAAAAACGCTCTTATATTATGGGACGGAGGGAGTATTATTTTAGACAATTTCAAGAACATATTGGTGAACGACTCGAAGCCAACGCGGCTGAGCCAGCAGGTGGTGACCGATCGCTAATGGGCCACAGCTTCTAATTGAGCATCATTGCTGCAATTTTCTCGCTTGAAACCAGTAACATGAAGGACGCGTCTATGGGGCTGTTTGGTTTGTGACTAAGAAACACTCTGGTTCTAGGCCTTGTATTGTCATACTTTGTCACATTTTTGCCACACATTTGTGACTATGTGGTTGTTTGGTTTGTGACAATACAAGGCCTAGAACCAAACAACCCCTATGTCTTTCTTTTAGCGAGAAAGAACGACGCCTCGCCTCGTGTCCATGCAGTTTCTTTTAGTCCATAGATTTTTAAGATAATTTTGAGTCTATAGATAGTTTCTCCTTCGCTTCTTGGCAGGACCCATTGTTTTTCTTTTATTTTCTAATTTATTTAAATGTTGAACATTCTCTCTCTATATATACATTTATAAAATTATAATTTAAAAATGTCCTGACATTTAGAAAATATTCACACGTCTAAAAATATGTTTACAGAATATTTTTAAGTGTCCAAGAAAACATAGAATTTGTTTGTGTAATTTGTAGAAAAATGTGTGTACCATTCAAAAAATATCCGTGGCAGTTAAAAACATTCAAAATATCTTTTTTTTCATGAAATGTAACAATTTTTTCTCACAAATTTCTAAATATGTTTGTGCTACTAAAAAATGTTCATACTTAAGAAATGTTCGCATGTTGAAAAAAAATATTAGCAACGTTTTTTAAAATTTCAATGCGTTTTCATTTTTTTTGTAAAAAATCCTCAATTTGTGTTTTACAAATGTTAAAACATGTATTCGCATAAATTTTTAACGTGTACTTTTTTATAAAAAATAACGATTATGTGGAAAATTCAATCTATATAATAAAAATGTTGAGCATATTTTCAGAAAAAAACGTCTTGTATTTTAAAATAAAACCCCAAAAGGAAAAACCAAAAGGAAACCTATAGGGAAAAACAGTGAAAAAATAAAGAAGAAAAGCCGGACAAAACCTACCCAAAACCGGACGGAAGTTCCTAAAATGAAGCCACGCTGTAGGGGGGCCTTTCCTTTTTTTTAAAAAAGAAAAGAAGGAGCTCTCGACTGTGTGTGGTGCACAAAAGCAACTGCGCCCTTTGTCGAAACAAAAAAAGCAACTGGGCCGAATGTCGTTGATGGACAATGGACCCAAGTACAGCCGATGTGTTGCTAGAAGAAATACGGCCGATGTGCCGGTACGGCATCTCTCCTTTTTTTTCATTCGATTAATCATCTCTACCTCTCTCTCCTGACAGAGTGAGGAAACGAAAAGGAGGGAAATCCACCGGCCGGCTCCAGTTCTCCGCACCAACCACTCCAAGAAAAGAAGTTCTCCGCACCAACCTTTTCTGTTTTCTGATCTGAGATCCTAAAAGTGTCCCGCTTTCCCTAAAATACTGGAACAACCAGAGTCGTTTCCCATCCAGTTGTGTTGACGCCCAAATCACCGGAAGAAGCAGAAGCATCTCCCATCCACTCGACGTCGTCCGAAGGGTCAGTCGATCAAGAATATGTCTGGGAACCCGGGCGCTGACCCTCGTAATCCCGATACCTTTGTTCCTGTTGAGGATTTGCGCGGTCGGTGGCGGCCTGACCAGACCGATCGATGTGCGCGCGCGCGGCGTGGCCAGCCGCTCTCTAGTAGTACTACAGTAGTAGGAGTATTTACGTGGGACTCGACACGCACGTAGACACACAGTCACGTACAGCGGCGCACGCGCAGGGGCACACAGTGATGGACAGGATTTTCCATTAGTGCGGGCGTCCTATCGTACGGCCGGCATGGGCATGGGGCCGCGGCGAGGCTGCATGTGCGGGGGCCACCCGAGGCAGATTGCATGTGAGCCCTGTCCCCTCCCCCATCTCTACCGCCATGCCCGCCTAGCTCTAGCCATGGATGGAGATAGCTGCTCTGCTCCACCACCCAAAAATTCCATGCTTTCCCGCCACGGGGTAAACGCTTTTCTTTCGAGTTCTACCGGCCGTAAACCTTCCTGGCAAAGGGAGATCTCCCACCGTCAATCGCTCGCTTTTGATCGCTGTCCCATGCTGCTACGGCGAGCTTAGTATACAAAGCAGCCGGCAGGCAGTTTTAAAGGGACAAAGCAGAGAAGAAGAAGAAGGTTGGATGGAGCCTTCTTCGATCGATCCATCCGTCGTGTGACCTTTACTCTATCTATCTATCTAACTAAAGCGTAGCCCACTGCCCCATTTCATTGACATCTTTTTCTTTTCGGATCGTGGTGGAATCATCGGCCGGCCGCCTTTCCAGTGGGACTATATCATTCATGCCCGAGCTCCGACACATGACACGCGGCCTAACGTACGATCCCGCTTGGGTTTAATTTAAGCACCCGTCTTCTTCTTGTGTTTGTGTAAGGCTGATATGTTGTACGCATTCTATGTTTTTAGTTTGTTTTCTTCAACATGAACTGATGGCATGTGATGCCATCAATTGAGATCACACTTCACGGACAGTTCATAACGGAATCTTTTATATCATTCGCCTAATTTCTTGATGGCATTTGACCTTCGCACAATAAGCGTAACGGGTCATCTAGTCATTTGAAAGGATCACCAAAAATCCCATAAGACTAACTAAGTTACACGTTTACACATCCTACCGGAAGAGATATGATATGGAGGACATGTTGATATATACCATTCTCTTTGCCTCGAATTACTTGTCGTAGAAATGAATGCATTTAGGCCATCTTCAACGCTGACCCTTAAATCTCCAACAATCGACTGGACTGTGCTGTCTGAACTACAGAAGTCATCCAACGCGGTTCTGTATCGGTCCGTGGCACGGTCCAGACATGTTTTCTTCCATAAATCGGAGACAAACGTAAGGAGGTTCACTAGAGTCCGGACCGGACCCAAGCTTGCTTATGACCGCCCTGGCCCACCAAAATCCCTACACCCTCCCGCGTGCGCATCCCTCCCGCGCCAGTTGCCTGCATTCATGTCGCTGTAGAGCGCGTCCGCTCCACATTGAAGATGGCTCAAGATGGACGCGACCTCTCATTGCCTCCACCTTTGAAGTGGCGCGTCGGCGAGGATGCCGCCCGCTGCACGCCCGACTGAACACGCCTCCTCGCCACATTCAAACGCCTCCATTAAATTCACGTGGAAACCGAGAAACCTAATCCAGCCACACGACCGTTCACGAGCAGGCCAACATTAAACGCAATGCCGACCGAACTCCTCCCGTCCGCCCTCAATTTAAACGAGGCCAGAGGGTGGGCAAGAATCACACCACTCCGCCGCTCCCCATCTTCTCATCCACCATTTTCTCCACTCTTTCGATGGCATCTGACGAGCAGGAAGAGCAGTTTTTCGGCATCGGAGCCGACTGGGTGGCCCGCCGAGCCTGCGGGATACG